TTAGTTGTATTAGGTTGTTCTGAAAACCACATGCTAAAAAATTTAAGAGACGTATTCTCCACTTGCAGAAAATTCAACCTAAAATTACATCCAGATAAATGCCTATTTTTCAGCCAAGAAGTAACTTATTTAGGACATAAATGTACAAACAAGGGAATATTACCCGACCCGAGCAAATTTGAAACAGTTCAAAATTACCCAACACCAAAAACAGCGGATGAAGTTAAGAGATTCGTAGCTTTCTGCAACTATTACAGAAGATTCGTACCGAATTTCGCAGAACACTCACGAAAATTAACTAGGCTTTGCAAAAAGAATGTTTCCTTCGAATGGACAGAAGAATGTCAAAAAGCTTTTGCCTATTTAAAGGAAGCATTAATTAGTCCAAAACTTTTGCAATACCCAGACTTCGTTAAAGAATTCTGCATAACAACAGACGCTAGTGGGTACGCTTGTGGGGCAGTCCTTAGCCAGGAACATAATGGCAAACAGTTACCAATTGCTTACGCTTCTAGGTCCTTCACCAAAGGTGAAACCAACAAAGCCACAATAGAAAAAGAATTGGCCGCAATCCATTGGGCCATAACCTTCTTCAGACCATATGTTTATGGCAGAAAATTTCTAGTTAAAACTGACCATCGTCCTTTAACATACCTATTCTCGATGAAGAGCCCTTCATCTAAGCTGACACGAGTAAGACTCGATTTAGAAGAGTACGATTTTGAAGTGGAGTATATAGCCGGAAAAGAAAATCATATTGCGGACGCATTATCCCGCATAACAATTACAAACTTAAAAGATATGTCAGTGGAAGCAAGTAAAATATTAAAAATAACAACAAGATCAGCAGCGAAACAGACCAGCAGTAATGCTGAAAATAAAGAAAGTCACAAAGAGAACCCCAAAATTTACGAAGCGCTAAATAAATTTGAAGTAAAAAAGACATGTCGAGCTCGTTTTCACTCCTCCGAAATTATATTTCAAAAAAGGAAAGAAAATTTGTAGCACTTTGGATACAAGCAACCTAATTGTTGAGGATAAGATTGACCTAGGACAATTCTTTACCAGGCTTGAAAGAGAAGCCGGCAATTTAGGACTTGTACAAATACAGTTGTCCTTAGGGGACAAATTGTTTAAAAGTAATTATACTGCAGTAGGCAAATTTATGGAAATGGGTAACAAAGTTCTCAAAAAGCTAACAATCGCTCTAACCCCAGAGGTTATATATGTGACAAATCCCGGGAAAATAAAAGAAATTCTGCACAAATATCATGACGATCCTATTAGTGGTGGCCACCCAGGAATAAATCGCATGACAGATAAAATCAAGCAGAAGTATAGCTGGCTGAATATGAAAAACGACATAAGAAAATACATAAAAAACTGCATCCACTGCAAGAAGAATAAGACCAATAAGCATATAAAAGAACCAATGACAATAACGGAGACACCTCCGAAGGCATTTGATATTGTACAAATCGATACAGTCGGACCATTACCGAAATCGATAAATGGAAACGAATATGCAGTTACCATCATATGTGACCTAACCAAATACTTGGTAGCGATCCCAGTCCCAAGCAAACACGCAACAACAGTCGCTAAAGCAGTGTTCGAAAATTTCATTTTGATTTATGGACGCATGAATACAATAATGACGGACATGGGCACAGAATACAAAAACAACTTATTCAAAGAACTGTGTAAACTGTTAAAAATTGAACATAAAACTTCAACACCGTATCATCATCAAACTTTGGGTACTGTAGAACGCAGTCACCGGACATTCAATGAATATATACGTTCATACATATCCAGTGACAAAGATGATTGGGATGAATACCTCAGGTATTTCACGTATTGTTACAATACGACGCCATCAACCACACATAAATATTGTCCTTTTGAACTAATATTTGCAAAAAACCCACCGAACTACGATTTTTTAAAAGAAAATAAAATCAGCCCATTGTACAATCACGAACTTATGACAAAGAAGTAAAATATAGACTTCAAATAGCACAGCAAAGAGCAAGGAAATTAGTCCAAGAGGCTAAAGAAAAACAAAAAACAAATTATGATAAAAGTAGCTATAGTAAGGAAATAAACATAGGAGATTTAGTATTAGTTAGAGAAGAGGCCTCCCAGAAGTTAGAAAATAGATATAACGGATACTACAAAGTTAAAAATATCGATGAGAACAACAATTTTACTTTAATACCGCATAGCATAGGAAATAGTAATAAAAACAATAAAGAAATTATAATTCATAAGAATAGACTTAAAGCAATATAACTCCACTAGTAATAACAAAAAAAAAAAACAACCAAACAATAAACACTCATTTATCCATTTTAATAAACAGGCACACAAACCAAAGAAAACTAAATACAACATATCATGTTCAAAATACAAAAAAAAGTCAGTACAATAAAGACACATGTGAAACAAATGTAAACAAAATAAAGTAAGAAAACCTTTTTCCAATAGCATAACAATAAACGATAAGCTAAGTGAGCCAAACATTTTATTACCTAATAATTAATTGTTACTGAATAAGTCATTGAAACCCAAATGTATGAGCATTCTTTTAAAGAGAGGAGGTGTAGCATGACAGCTAAGCAAAACAAAATGTTCACACAATATTAAGTAAAAAGTTCAATATACTTTTGGCAATAACTAGGCCAAAGTACTCAAATCAATTTAGCTTGCGCTGCACTTCTCCAATAACATAAACTCGATTGAACCCATATACATTTATGTATGCATGCACAACAACGTAGAATCATAAGCATGACTAACAACTTAGAAATGTAAGTTTGAAAATTAGATTACTCATAAGGTAGATTGTAAGCATATAAAAGAAGGGCGATGAGCCGAATAAAACATTCCAACTTTAAGACTCAACGTTTTTACTTGCGTTTTACTTTTGGAATCATTGTGGGGCATTTTAATGCTCACCTAAATGCGGCTGTAGAGCTAAGAAAATACTAAACGCCTTCCAATATTTACAGTGCTATAACTTCAGTTTCAGGTTTAGTAAAATGATTCCATCAATATGATATTTCATTACTTGTATTAGGAAATATTATTACTATCTTAACTGTTTATCAATGATGACGAGATGTATCACGTGAAGGTACATTTCAAGGATTACATACTATTTCTGTTACTTTAAGTCTTCGATGAGGAATAATTTTATTTATTTTATCTGAAGTATTATTTTTTATATCTTTTTTTGAGCTTTTTTTCATAGAAGATTATCGCCTGCTATTGAACTAGGAGCATCATGACCACCTATAGGAATTAAACCTTTTAATCCATTTCAAATTTCTTTACTAAATACAGCAATTCTTTTAGCTTCAGGAGTAACTGTCACATGAGCACATCATAGTTTGATAGAAGGAAATCATTCACAAGCTACACAAGGATTATTTTTTACAGTATTATTAGGTATTTATTTTACTATTTTACAAGCATATGAATATATTGAAGCCCCTTTTACAATTGCAGATTCAGTTTACGGATCTACTTTTTTATAGCAACAGGCTTTCATGGGATTCATGTATTAATTGGAACTACCTTTTTATTACTATGTTTAATTCGACATTTAAATAATCATTTCTCAAAAATTCATCATTTTGGATTTGAAGCAGCTGCATGATATTGACATTTTGTTGATATTGTTCGATTATTCCTTTATATTTCAATTTATTGATGAGGAGGTTAATTAATTAATTATTTATATAGTATATAAGTATATTTGACTTCCAATCATAAGGTCTACTAATCTAGTAGTATAAATAATTTTTCCAATTGCTATTATAACTTCAATTTTAATTATTATTTCTAGAGTAGTAATAATATTAGCATCAATTCTGTCAAAAAAAAACCTTAACAGACCGAGAAAAATGTTCGCCTTTTGAGTGTGGGTTTGATACAAAATCTTAATTACGTCTTCCTTTTTCTTTACGTTTTTTTTTTAATTACAATTATTTTTTTAATTTTTGATGTAGAAATTGCTTTTATTTTACCAATAATTTTAATTATCAAAATTTCAAATATCTTTATATGAACAATCACTTCAATTATTTTTATTGTAATTTTAATTATTGGATTATATCATGAATGAAACCAAGGAATATTAAATTGATCAAATTAGGGTTCTAGTTAATTAAAACATTTGATTTGCATTCAAAAAGTATTGAAATTTCAATCTACCTTAACTAATTGAATATGAAGCGATTTATTGCAATTAGTTTCGACCTAATTTTAGGTAATTTAATACCCTTATTTTCAATTAATATTAATCTATTAATTGAAACCAAAAAGAGGCTTATCACTGTTAATGATAGAATTGAGATTTATACTCCAATTAAGGAACTATGATGTTCAAGAAAAAGCTGCTAACTTTTATCTTTTAATGGTTAACTTCCATTTATACTTCTATTTATATAGTTTAATAAAAACATTACATTTTCATTGTAAAATTAAAATATTTTTTTTTATAAATTACAAATATTAATTCACTACATTCAAGGATTATTTAATTACCCTAACATCTTCAACGTTATGCTCTAATTTTAAGCTACTTGAATAAAATAATAAAAAAAAAACTTAATAAAAAAGTAATTCATAAAACAAACAATAGAAGATAAATTTTTAAATTATTATTATAAAAAAAAATCAATTAAAAAATTTAATTAATCTATTATATAAATTTTGATCACCTAAAAATTCTGACCAACCTTGATCAAATGATCTATAAACTAATCCTCCTAAATTTAAGGGGGGATTAATAATCCCATAAGTACAAATATAAGGTATAAATCATATAGAACCAAAAAAATAACTAACTAGATAATTATTGAATGATTTATTTAAATGAAATAAAGAAACGTGAGAAATTAAATAACCTATTAATCCTCCAATAATACAAACAATTAAAGTTAATAATTTTATATATACAGGTAAACAAATTATATAAGGGGTAGGAAAAATTAATGATCTAAGTAATTCTTATAATTAATAAACCTCTTATTCCACGAAGTATAATTCAACCCCCTTCTCTTAGTATATTTAAAGAACCACAATTTAATTCTCCTGTTATTGGATAATAAATTAATCGAAAAGAATAACAAACTGTTAATCCAGTAGAAAAAAGTATAAAAAGAAAGAAAAAAATTTATATAACTTAATGAAACAATTTCTAAAATTATATCCTTAGAATAGAATCCAGCTAAAAAAGCCATTCCGCATAAAGCTAAATTAGCAACATTAAAACAAGAAGTGCTTAAAGGTATATAAATTCCCAGTGCCCCTATTAAACGAATGTCTTGTGAATTTTGTATATTATGAATAATAGCCCCTGCACATATAAATAATAATGCCTTAAATAATGCATGAGTTAAAAGATGAAAAAAAGCTAATTTATAAAGTCCTATTGATAAAATCCTCATTATTAACCCTAACTGACTTAATGTAGAAAGGGCAATAATTTTTTTTAAATCAAATTCAAAATTAGCCCCTAATCCAGATAATAATAATAATAATTGGCCTAAAAAAGAATTATTTAATAAAATATTAAAACGAATTAATAAATAAACACCAGCAGTTACAAGAGTTGAAGAATGAACTAAAGCAGAAACAGGAGTTGGAGCAGCCATAGCAGCAGGTAACCAAGTAGAAAAAGGAATTTGAGCTCTCTTTCTTATATCAGCTAATATTATTAATCCTCCAATCACTTCTATTTCAATTCTATTTTTCATTGATTCTTAATAAAGAATATAATTTCAACTTCCATAATTTAATATTCAAGCAATTGCAAGTAAAAAAAGCAACCTCACCAATACGATTTGATAAAGCAGTTAATATACCAGCATTATAAGATTTAACATTTTGAAAATAAATGACTAAACAATAAGAAATTGATCCTAATCCATCTCAACCTAATAAAATTCTAATTATATTTGGACTAATAATTAATAATATTATAGATAATACAAATATAAGAACAAACATAATAAAACGATTAATATTAACATCACCACTTATATATTCTTTTCTATAATAAATTACTAAAGAAGCAATTAATAAAACAAAAGACATAAATAATAAACTTATTCAATCAAATAAAATAGTTATAACAATTCTAGAAGAATTTAATGAAATAAGTTCTCATTCCAAAAAAATACAATAATCTCTTAATAAAAATCTCAAACTAAAAATAAATAAATTAATTCTAATTCTAAATAAAATTAAAAATTTATTCTACAAATTGATAAATATTTTTTCACAATTTGAAATGATATAAATCATATCATTGACACCACAAATCAATATTTTAAATAAACTATTTAAATTTTAAAGCCAAACTACGCAAATTTCACTTTTTAAAATTAATAAATTTAAAGGAAATCAATGAAGTATTAAAATAAAATATTCACGAATTTTACCTCCACTAAATGAATAAACCCCAGAAAATCCCTTTCCATGTTGTCTATATGCATATAAATATAAAGTATATGCAGCTCTAAAAAAAGATAACAAAGATAATGAAATTATAGTTTACCATGATCAACTAACAATTCTATTTAATAAAGAAATTTCACCTAATAAATTTAATGAAGGAGGTGCAGCTATATTACAAGAACTTAATAAAAATCATCATAAAGTTATTGAAGGCATACAATTTAATAATCCCTTATTAATTAATAAACTTCGACTTCCTAATCGTTCATAAGTTATATTAGCTAAACAAAATAACCCCGATGAACATAATCCATGAGAAATTATCAAAGTAACTAATTCTAATTCAAATATAATTATATTTAACACTACTTAATTGTAAAAAAATAATACTCGTAATAAACCACAACCCCCCAACTTTAATATAATACCTGCTAAAATTATAGAACCTGAAACTGGAGCTTCAACATGAGCTTTAGGTAATCATAAATGAACTAAAAATATTGGCATCTTAACTAAAAAATGCTAAAATTAAAGATAAATATAATAAATCATAATTAAATATAAAATTATTCAAAAGGTAAAAATTCAATGTTATTAAATTATTGTATAAATAAAAGATACCAACTAATATTGGTAAAGAAACTAATAAAGTATAAAATAATAAATATACACCAGCTTGTAAAGGTTCAGGTTGATACCCTCACCCCAATATTAAAAATAAAGTAGGAATTAATCTTCTTTCAAAAAATAAATAAAATATAAATAAATTTATACTAGATGCTTTCCATTTCCAGACAACCGCTCAGGTACGAGCATGATTTTTAATTTCGACCAAACTCAAATACATTGTTTGCTCGGAAGAATTTTTCGGCCGAATTAAACGCGATTTTGTTTTGCAGGCAAAAATCGCTTATTCGAATTTACAGTGAGAATTTTTTTTTTAAATGCCCATAACTTTGTCAAAATTTAATAGATTCCAACTGCTTTTACTCAAATGTCAGTAATTATTGTAACTTCAAGATAGAATGATATAATTATTGATTTTTATTATTTAAAATTTTTTATTTAACAATAAACAAAAACTGCAGATTTTTTTTTAAATTTAATTTCTCAAAAAGTGTATTTTTTTTCTCTCAAACTTTTTTACCGAGAAAGAGACACTTTGAACTACAATCAACCCAAATCTCTAATAGCGAAGATTTTTTTTTTCTGAGTTATGATTTTTTATAGAAAATATACGTTTTTGTGGTACATACTACAATATTCTTATATTGTTTAACTAAATGGAACATATGTATGTAATATATCAGCAAAAAATACAGCCGTGATCATTTATCGATTATAAAAAGCGGGAAAATGTGATTTTGTATTTCGAAACTGTATGGTGGAAAGTGTGTTCTAATATCTATTTGATACACAAAAAATGATCACGGCTGTACTTTTTGCTGATATATTACATACATATGTTCCATTTAGTTAAACAATATAAGAATATTGTAGTATGTACCACAAAAACGTACATTTTCTATAAAAAGCATAACTCAGAAAACAAAATCTTCGCTATTAGAGATTTGGGTTGATTGTAGTTCAAAGTGTCTCTTTCCCGGTAAAAAAGTTTGAGAGAAAAAAATACACTTTTTGAGAAATTAAATTTAAAAAAAAATTTGCACTTTTTGTTTATTGTTAAATAAAAAATTTTAAATAATGAAAATCAATAATTATATCATTCTATCTTGAAGTGACAAGAATTACTGACATTTGAGTGAAAACATTGTTGGAATCTATTAAATTTTTACACAGTTATGGGCATTTAAAAAAAAATTCTCACTGTAAATTCGAATAATCGATTTTTGCCTGAAAAACAAAATCGCGTTTAATTCGGCCGAAAACTTTTTCCGAGCCAAAAGAAAAAATACGTGTCTCATTATTTGGACCAACAAACAATGTATTTGAGTTTGGTCGAAATTAAAAATCATGCTCGTACCTGACCGGTTGTCTGGAAATGGAAAGCATCACTAGCAAATCTTAAAATTAAAAATAATAATAAATTAAAATATTAAATTAAAATAAATTTTTATAATTACCAAATTTATTAACAGATTAACTAGCAGTAATTATAAGAGTCCAAATTCAAAATCTTAACAAAATTAATCCATAAGAAATTGTGTGAAATCCTAAAAAATAAGAAATATTTAAAAAATAATTAGTGCAAAAATTTATTATAATAAATAAAAATGCAACCAAAAATATTAAATTTTGAACCATTCAAAATGAACTACTAATAAAACAAATTGGACTAATAAAAATTAATTTTAACATTGTAAAATATTAAATGATTGAAAATAATCATTTCCATGAGTACGAATTATTGAAACAAGAATTGCAAGACCTAATGCACCCTCACAAACTCTAAAAGTTAAAAATATTATACTAAAAAATCTTCTAAAATTTATTAAATTTAAATAAATAAATAACAAAAAAAATAAATTGAATACAATTCAATTTCAAGATTTATTTTTATACAAATAAATCATCCCTTAGCTATAGGACTAATGCTATTAATTCAAACTTTGCAAATTTGTATAATAACAGGATTAATAGCTAAAAGATTCTGATTTTCTTATATTTTATTTTTAATTTTTCTTGTGGGAATATTGGTTTTATTTATTTATGTTACATCCCTAGCTTCAAATGAAATATTCTCATTTTCAATAAAATTAACAACTATTTGTATAATAATTTTTATTTTATTTATAATTTTAAGATTAATATTAGATAAATCATTACTTTTAATCTTTCTAGAAAATAATGAAATAACAAGTATAAATAATATTAACTTATTTATAGAAGAAAATTCATTAAATCTTAATGAATTATATAATTATCCAACAAATTTAATTACAGTTTTATTAATAAATTATTTATTAATTACATTAATTGCAGTAGTAAAAATTACAAAATTATTCTATGGACCTTTACGATTAATAAACTAATGAATAAACCTTTACGAACCCAACATCCTTTATTTAAAATTGCTAATAATGCATTAGTAGATTTACCTGCCTGCACCTACTAATATTTCAGCTTGATGAAATTTTGGTTCACTTCTTGGATTATGTTTAATAATTCAAATTTTAACGGGATTATTTTTCGCTATACATTATACAGCAGATATTAATTTAGCATTTAACAGTGTTAATCACATCTGTCGAGATGTAAATTACGGTTGATTATTACGAACTTTACATGCCAACGGTGCATCCTTTTTCTTTATTTGTATTTATTTACATGTAGGACGAGGTATCTACTAAGGATCGTATTTATTTACTGCAACATGATAAGTAGGAGTACTAATTTTATTCTTAGTTATAGCAACAGCTTTCATAGGATATGTATTACCATGAGGACAAATATCTTTTTGAGGAGCAACAGTTATTACAAATTTATTATCAGCAATTCCTTATCTAAGAGCTACTTTAGTACAATGAATTTGAGGAGGGTTTGCAGTTGATAATGCAATATTAACACGATTTTTTACACTTCATTTCATTTTACCCTTTATTGTATTTTTTTTTTTGTAGGATAGGGAAATACTTTATGCACTGGCCGGGGGCGCTAATCTCTATACTACCTTCCCCGAGTGTGGGACTCCCACCGAAGCGTGTTGGGCTACCCTCCAAAACCCAAACTCCCACCGCCCGCGCAAGAATCCCGCATCTGGCACCGCAATTCTGCATGTTTTCAGATGCAGGAGCGCGCTGTTAGAGACTTGGGGCTGCTCTTTTGTAGGGGCGTTTCATTCGGGTGTCCTCAGTAGACAACCGTCCTCTCGTTTGCAGCGGAGTACGAATTTCACGTATCTCGCAACTGCTTCC